ATTAAATAAATTATTCACAGTAAAATAAATACACGTCGTACAATACATTTGATTTTAATCGGATTGTGTATAATATATGTTGAAGCTGACGCAAATTTGGAAACACTTCCAATATAGTTATTATAAAAATGCACATTTAAGGGGGAGCAGAAATGGACACAAGGCGGGTATTACATATAAAGACAATCCTTATTGGACAGCAAACAGGGATAACAACGAAATCATGCTATACCAGGTAGGATACAATAACTGTATGTTATTTATAGTTGCATTTAACTCCTCTCAAGGACAGACATTGTACACAATAATTTAGGGGGGGGTTGTATTTCATACTTTTTCTCGCCACACGCGGTTACTACACGGTGGCAACGTTACAGTATCGCATCAAAATGGGGGAGGGCGTTCTCACATACCGCGATGCTTCCTCGGATCATATTTTACAGTCATGGGTTCACTTCAACAGTTCGTCCTGGAAGTAATAACCAGCAAACGTGTCACACATCGTGACTTACCTTGATAACGATTTATTTTTCAGTAATCAGACATACTAATTCAATCAATCTCATAATTTAGGTCGCAATAAATAACTCTATTGCCGCTTTTTCTACCTGCACAGCCACTACAACGTACAGGGCTCTACTAGTAACGTCTGTGTACCGTATATGTTTCAGACAGTGAGATTTAGCGGTTCGTCCTGTTGATCAACGGGGTTGTTATTATACGACGCTCTACGCTCATACGTCTGTGTTAAACCGACGCAGCTCAGCATCGCATAATGTTACTGTTGTTGTATGGGTGTATTGCTCACAATGGGATACAGTATTATTTCAATACTCGGTAGTAAGTAGCCTTAAACGGTCGGCGATAGCTATTGCGCCCACGCAGTAGTTTGCGCCGCAGTGAATTTGTCGCCGAGGGCGCAATAGCTATCTCAGACTGGCGGCAGGTGGTGCTCGACACTGCACTGTGATACATTCAGTTTATAACACGGAAAGATGCAGAGAGTAAAGATTAACGAAACCTGAACGTCGTTAAAATGTGACATTTGAACAAACCACACTTACGCCATGATTGACATCCCTCAATGTTTGTTAGTTGTTATTTCATTGAGTTTGAAAGTGACTCGCTACGACAATCTGTGCACAGCACACAATTGTCAAATACGCTACGTATATTGTATCACAGTCGAAACCACAGAAGCGAAGGTCGCTTATATATGTGGTAATTTATTTAGCCAAGATTTTTAGGTTTGATAAACAATTTGAAATCCTCGCGTTGCGTTGCCTACTAACAGTTACATCGCGTCGACAATGAATTATGAAGTATTTAAAAATTATCGCTGACGGAGAAACTTTACATACAATTTACTCGCGCGTACATGATCAAAACACAACACATTTATTATCATCATCTCCCGGTCAATGACTATTCTCGACGTGGTAAGAAGAGCATTGAAGCTAATGGTGTTATAAAAAATATTCGTATGGAAGAGGCTATAGACGCGTTTGCAGAAAATGTTAATATGAAGTAACAATTTCATCACGTTGATTGACTTTCTATTATTATATATATGTTGGTAGTAACAGAACGTGTTCCGAAAGATTCGCTCATTCAACTGATAAATAAATTGTTTGTTTTTTTTCACGACTCATTCATATTTATTGACAGTGAGTAATCGCATGAGTTTTAGCTGTCACGAAGCACGAGATGTGAACACGTATCAAAGCTCGGAAATAATATCATAGCTATGAAAAAGCTGTGTTAAACAAGCTTTTTTTGTTAGTGTCTATGCTCTTATCAATCGTCCTTTGTCATGATTACGCTAAATTGCTATCAGAGATGCCACGTACACTTGCATTCTTATAAAGCTAGGCGAGTATGTGTGTGTGGTGTGTGTGTATGTGTGTGTGTTTGTTTGTAAACGGTTTACTCTTCCATTGAGTAAAACGAATTTCGTCTCAGGCTATGTTCTTAATATAATTAAATATAATATAAAAATCCTTCGTTAAACCGCCGAGTCTGTCGTTTCGACGCGACCTCGCACAGTACCCGTTTTTGTACAAACGAAAATTGTACATGAGGCTTTTTATTTTTCTCTATCTGAAAGACAAACAACAGCGCATGCACAAAAAAGGCGAAAGATCGTGTACCTCTATCTATCACCGGGTCGACCGAGTAACGAACAACGCACTCATGGATTTAAAAAATAAACTTGTACGAACGAAACATTTTATTCGAGTAACGAACAACGCTAAGCTCTTGCGTTAACTTCTATCTGACTTAAGGTCTACTCATAAATTAAAAAAAAATTATTCATTTTACTATAAATTGTACCCCAAGGCAATATAGGGATATTGAACTAAAAAAAGTTAGGGGGTCACCAGCCTTATTTTCTAGATATTCATGGTTGTGGAAAGTCACCATTTCACCACTATTATAACACTTTTACCACAGATTCCTATGGCAGAGATATTATGCAATATCCCACAATCTAGCCCGGTTACATCATAGGCTGGAAAATCATATATTGTTAATGAGGGAGTAATTTGGGTTTTAGAAAGTGTCAAAAATACAGTTTTTTTTAACATTGTGTTCTATGGAATTGTTCAAAAAATATCAATTTTCAAGAAATATTAGGACACGTTTTTCAAAAAGTATAACACACTATTTCATTGTACCATGAGACATTAACTTCATGATTGTACACAATAAACTAATGTCATGTGATTTATGACTAATTTTGTCAAAAATTATGACTGCCTTAAGAAATGTTAGAGCATTTTCGTTCGTTTATATTGAAATCGACTTAGTTACTCAGTCAATCAGATAAACGTACGAGTTTTCAATTTATTTCGCCACTGCGTTGTTTGTTAGTAAGACAGAAACGTGTTGCGTTTAAGATATACGTTATCTATCGAATACTAACGCTTTTTTTTGTTCTCCCCCCCCCCCCCATTGGGTTTTCAAGACTACGTAGTTGATTCGATCGCTTTTTATTACCAAACGCTTCAGCGTGGTATTAAGATTTTGTTTTCAGGCTTGGGTGGTACCAAGGTGGAAAATGGTTGCACATATGGGGGGTAATTCCTGGAATTGCAATAGAGAGGGTTCAGGCCGAAATACATATATATAGTGTTTTCATGTTTCGTCTGATATTTCTGTGGTATTCTGCTGCTGTAAATAATGCAAGATTTGTTCCGAAATTCAGTGTGTTGTGTGCACTCCAGGGTTATTCGTTTTTTGCTCAAAACACCCCTATTTTTT